AGGGGGAGCGGAGGGGGCGGGGGGGTTCATGGATGTGTTTGGATGGGTGTGTACGCTCTCATCTGTTTTTCCTGTTTTCAATCAAGTCTTCTAACCCTCTTGTTACATTTCTCAGGAAGAGCAATAATGTTCCCTGGTCATTTCGACCTGGGGTGAGTTAAATTTTCCAAGTGTCAGAAACAAAACCTAAAATTGTATTTCTTTATTGACCCGTGCAGAAAAACTTTGATTTTTTTTTCAGGCTTGTGTATACTAGTGAGAGTGTACGTACCTTATCCCAGATTTCACTCAGTAGCGTTTCCTGGAAAATTTCACCGATCAACCCGAAATTCAACAGCCATGTCTAAAAAAAAGAAAAGAGGGAAAAAAAAAACATTTTGAGTCATGCAGTCATTTTTCATTATATTTTCATTGTGTTTGTGGTGTCGTGTTTGCCCTCTTCAATAACCGAAAGTGGTCACATGGGCTCCTTGCCCAGATCTGATGGCATGACAGTAAAAATTGCTTGGCGGTGTATCTTAAGCTCGTGTGATGGCTTTCATCACTTTAAAAAAAATACATAAAATAAAGAATTCATTGTACGCTGGGGCACTCTTAAGTCAAACTTGCCAATTTGAGGATTGACATTCAAATTTTACAGTGGAACAAAACGAAAACAAAACCACATGCATGCAGTTTGAATTTAAATTCCTCAATCCCTCTGCACCAGTTTCACAGATGAATACGAATATGGGCAAACGTCTACTGTGCTAGGAACGACAAAATAAATTAAACGACCCGTAGCCAAACTTGGACCTGAAGTCGACCATTTTGGTTTGGAGCAGCCATTTTGTGCTAATTCTATGACTCTATTCTATAACTTTGCCCGGATGAGCCCCAATCGGAAACAAGTAGATTGGAAAAGATGGGCGACGCTCTGTTGCAAAACATTATTTTGCCGTTGCGTGGTGTCAAAGCTTGAGAACATCAAAGGATTTTCCATTAAAAAAAAGGGGCCCATTAATTGCGGCTTTACTTTGTGTTGCATTTCTTTCACTTGCAAACGGGTCAATCTGACTAAGCAGGAGGGTTAAATCGCTTCGCTAATGTATTCTGCAGTCAGCTCCGGCCAGCGAGCCAACACACACCGAAGCTCCCACCACAATCAAATTGTGTGTGTGTGCGTGTGTGTGTATGTGTGTGTGTGAGACAGGTTGATTTAGAATGCTATGCATTCTCCACATAATGAACAGCTCTACATTTCCTCCGCTCTGTAAATATTTGATGCGGCGGAATGATTTTTAGCAGTGACGACGGGGTTGGTGGGGAGGAAAAAAAAAAAGTGGATTTAAAACCTCCAATCCTCTCTCTCACCCTTGTCCTCTTCCCATGTAAATAAGCCCCCCCACCGCAACCCCCATAGAAACCCCACACACCCCTCAGTGAGGGAAGTTTAAAGACCCGACACTGTCTCTCCGTCTCCGTGGCAACCAGCATACACTGGGGTCCTTTCGCGGCCTCCCCCTTGTCTTTTGTGTTTGGGATTTGAGAGAGAGAGAGAGAGAGAGAGAGAGAGAGAGAGAGAGAGAGAGAGAGAGAGAGAGAGAGAGAGAGAAAGACGGGAAGAAAACGAGAGAGTGAGTGAGAGTGAGGGGATGACAAGCAAAAATAAAAGATGACGTCACAGCTATTTGACAAAAATTTGATGATGATTATGGCACCCCTTCCTCCTAACGGGTACAAAAAAAAAAGCAGAGAAAAGAGAGAGAGTGGGAGAGAGAGGCCCTGGGGCCTCAATGGGGCATTGTGGGAAGACAGTGGGCACACTGGGCAGCAACACAGAGAACACTAACTCACAGATGATGCCAGATAGTCTGAAAAACACCCACACTGGGCGACAATGGCAAACTTCATCGCTCCACTTGGCCCCTTGTGAATACACACACACACACACACACACACACACACACACACACACACACACACACACACACACACACACACACACACACACACACACACAATGGTAGAATACGCGGCCTAAGATGCTGTGTTATTTGGGAAATTCGGCAGCACACACTGAATTCCTTCAGTGGCCCTTTGAGCAGACAGATGGGCCCCCCGGGGGGGGGGGGGGCCGTGTTTTAAAACGTGCTCGTACGGGAGCGTGCGTGTGGTCCATCGCAACGTTGCATCATGGGAAAAAAGGTGCGGCAAGTCCTGCAGTATCCAAGTATTCTGCATTCTCTGCATCAAATTAAGCAAATAATTCTTACATCAAGATGAACTAAAGCTTTCAAGTTATACTATACTAAAAGTGACATATGGAACATCGGCTGTTTAAATTTTGAATAATAATTGTCGGTTTTGTAACTAAACAACCACATATCCAAGTTAACCAACTATTCGCTAACAGTGGTCTTCCTTAACATAAGAACCACCCTCAAATCATGTTTCTCCATTATTGACACGATCAGCTGGGCAGGACGCAGTTCCAGAGTGTATCACTTTGATTCCGTGGCCGGAGCATCATATAAAAGCCCTCAGGTAAGCAGAGCTGCAATGTTCATACAAGTTACCTTCCAATAATAAGTTCAACTAAGTTGTCAACATGGTACATGTACCACACCGCCACACTACAAGTATAATACTGTACAGGCTTGGTGATGAAATGCCACATTCTTTGGTGTTAAGTGAGATAACAGAGATAGCTACAAGCAACGGTTCTTTGATTGCTCCATGAACTGGTTGGCAAGGTGGTAGAGTCCTTGTGTTTGGCAATTTTGGAAAATTTGGGCATGAGCCACAAAAAAGTTGTCTTTGTCTCGAGTGCGCGCTTGTTTTCCACATTCTGCGAAATCAAAGCTTGTCTCACCATTGTCCCAACAGTATGTGGGGGTGTATAAAGCCTGGCTGGCACATTGCATGAACCAGAGCCACTCCTAAAATGAGCCTGTTTCACCATGGTAGGAAATACGCTGGAAAAACATGTGCATAATTCCTGATCTGAGTTATTTTGGCGAAAGAATACCACAGGCATGTGATTATGAAACCTGGAAATTGTTTTTAATTAAAAAAAAAAAAAAACATGTCTCCTTAGCGCAGAATCAAAAGTATTTGACTCTTCTTCTGCTTGTCCTGATTGTTAAATCTTTGCCTCCCTCTAGCGCAGTAACTATGAACTACAAGCAACGCCCAAAAGTCAGTGCAAGGTTTCCCTTTGGGGAAAGGGTTGGAAATAAAATATTTTTCATTTCAACATCGAAAACCAACATTCATTTAAAGAATTACTTTTTAATTGGTCTATTCTCCTCTATCCATAGAACCATTCAAAGGTTTTGGACACACTTTAAAGCTAATTGATTGAAACATTGTTCAAACTTATGACTGGATGTTTCTTTATGGTTTTAGTTTGTTTTACAAAAGAAAACTTACAAGTAAATGAATAGGTGGGTCGAAAAGGAAAGTATCCGTTGGTTGAATCTTTTGTTTTGTGAAATATTTGCTGACAGACCTATTTTAGAGTGTAATTTGGGAGCGATGGCTCCCCCACAAGGAGGATGTCCACTTTGGTTGACGAGTTTAGAATTCATACAGCCCAGTTGCTACACTGGTACATTTGAAGGGTATTAATCTTTGGATTAAAGAAAATGTCTCACATTTTTTTTGCGTTTTCGGCATCGAGGGGAGATGCCGCCGCCATAGTTTGTCCTTAACTTGTGTAAAATGAATGGCATATGTGTGGCTCATAAAATGACAAAACGTACTTAAACGATGTGAACTCGCTTTTCATGATTTACTTACTTCGTCACTTGGTCGTTAAATGTCAAGTTTACACCGATATTTCTTACAACACAGTGGCGTTTTTTGTTCCCTCTCACTTGGCGACCGGTGTTCTTGACGTAATATGACGACATTGATTTACGGCAAGAGGGTATTGCTACTGCCGTAGTTCGTCCTTAATTGGCGCAAAACGGATGCTAAATTTGTGGCTCATAGAATGACACGATCTCCTTAAAACTGTGTGAACACTCATTTCGAGATTTACTTACTTCGGGACTTCGTCACTTAGTCGTGAACTTCTAAGACACACACCGATATTTATTTCTTACAACAGTGGTCGTTCTCTCCCTCCCACTCGGGGACCAGTGTTGCTCTGGTAACTTGACAGCATTGCTTTACGGCAGGAGCGTGCTGGTGCTGCTGTTGCAGTGTGTGTGGAGGTCAGGGGCATGACAGAACAGCGAGTTCCCGATACAGACATGCTGCTTCTTTGTTGTAAAATATACTTGATTTAAAAAAATAGACGCGATCGGTCAACTACATTATTGTGATTATTATATTGGCGTTGACAGAACAGCTCAGTGTTGACCATCTTGATCGTTGCATCATAAGTAGCGCTCCTTAGCCGAAGCAAGGACCTGTTCTTTTTTTTCCATTTTTAAGTTCTTACCATTCACCCAGACATGGACAACAATCCACAAGGCTCCGGGGGACTCAAGGCTAGTCTCGGTGGTCTCTTCGGTGGTGGAGCGCCGGAATATTCCAACACGGAGCTCGCCGGTGTTCCATGTACGCATCCTGGTAGCTTCGCGGCTAGCTAAAAAGCTAACCGGCTAGCATGCCGAAGTGAGTGCTGGGTGCTATTTGATGTTGATATTTGGGTCCTCTTTGTCATTTTAGTGACTGGAATGAGCCCTCTGTCGCCTTACCTTAACGTCGACCCTCGTTATCTGATTCAAGTAAGGCAGAATTTAAAATTAAACAATGTTCTCTGATAACTATATGGCAGAAGACTTATCAATAATCGTGTGTTTTCAGGACACAGACGAGTTCATTCTGCCTACAGGCGCTAATAAGACGAGAGGAAGATTCGAGCTGGCTTTCTTCACAATTGGGGGGTCCTGCATCACAGGTAAATGTTTGGCATTTTAAAAAATATATAATTATCGTTGAAGCAATGAATCTACAAGTCAGCTTTACTACTGCACGACAACATTCCAACACACGACCATGAGATTGCCATTCTAGTTACAATTTGCCTTTTCTCTTTTTGGTTACAGGAGCTTCGTTCGGCGCTTTAAATGGCCTGAGGATGGGCCTGAAGGAGACAAGAGACATGGCTTGGTCCAAACCCCGAAATGTACAGTGAGTATTGAGTCTGATGTTCTATACCACCTCAGTGTATGCAGCAGATAAAACACCATAAGTACGAAGAAGTAAGGCCTACTGGTCACTATCAGGCACACCGAGCATTTACAGATGTTATAAAGAGTCCTTTGTTGTATAAATTGGGACTTTTTCCCCCCTCAAAATTAATCAGATAGATGTTATACCCCTGTGATAAGATGTTGAAATGTTGTGCTGTCTCACCAGGATCATCAACATGGTGACAAGGCAAGGAGCTTCGTGGGCCAACACTTTGGGTTCAGTAGGTAAGACCCAATGCGGACTCATCATACAAACACATTGATGTCGTTGATGTGGCATTGACGTCTGTTACGTGATCGCAGCCTTGCTGTACAGCGCGTTTGGCGTGGTGATCGAGAAGGTTCGAGGAGCGGAGGACGACATCAACACAGTAGCGGCCGGCACGCTAACGGGGATGCTCTTCAAGGCGGCCGGTATGTGTCTCTTTATCTTGTTTACTTTTTTTTTGTATCACAAAAACCTGGCATTTCAACAGTGGTGTTTCAACTTTTTATATCCACTGTGTTTTTGCAGGCGGCCTGAAGGGTGTAGCCCGCGGGGGTCTGGCCGGCCTGGCCTTGTCCAGTGCCTACGCCGTCTACAACAACTGGGACCACCTGACTGGAACGTCGTCACCATCCTCCTCTAGGCTTTACTGAGTTCCTCCTCCTCGTCCTCTTTTTTTTTTCCCTCTGACATTAGGGCCAAACTATCTCCAGGAGGCAGTGCGCAGACTCTGGGATGGAAGTGCTTTCTGTGTGTACATGTGTGTGTGGCTGTAGGTCCGCAAGTGGATCTTTTAATGATGAACATTGCCTTACAGTCAGTGCTACTCTTGTATTTATTTCACGGGGATCATCATTAGAAGCTGTACTGCAAGAAGAAGAGTACATGTCAACCGTCATCTGATGAAATAAATCACGGGGAAATACCATAAAAAAAGCCAACATCATATTGTTGTGGAAGCTGCGTCAGTGCAGGAAGAAGTCTCGGATGCGCGTGGCCTCGATCCAGGGGATGTAAGCACCGGTGCGGGTGAAAACGCTGGGCTTGTTCTCCACCGTGCAGCCAATGGGGCCGAAGCTCACCACGCCGTGGACCTCCCAGCGCTCGCGGCCAAGCTGGCACAGGAGTGGACCGCCCGAGTCCCCCTGAATCGAACAACGCTATGATTGTTTTCTTTCCTCGCCGAGGCTGGGAGGAAACGCGGCAGCGGAAACGAACCTGACAGGCGGCGGGCGGATCCTCTGTGTCCCTGAAGCCGGCGCAGATCATGGAGTCCCGCACGCGGTCACCCCAGAACTTCTTCTGCCGACAAGTTTTGAAGTCGATGATGGGGAGGCGGGCTTGGTTCAGGGCCTCTGCCAGGGAAACATTTTCCTTCCCACCTGGAGTATTTCAATGAAACTGATGTATCCGCTTCTCGAGTCCCTTACACAAACGTTTACAATGCACGCGATCGGCCAAAATGTCTCACGAAAATAAAGAAGCTAGTTGTCCGACAGCCATATTAACTGAACATCCCCTAAATTTGGCCACCGTTTTTATGTAGAAACGTACCAGTAGTCGTCCATGTCAATAATTCCCAACGACTTTGCTGTGATAGATCATATGGGTATTCATTGGGAAATTGTATATAATTATGTAACTCGGTCTGAACAATTACATTTCCAACAAAATATTAATCTCTGCAATGTTTAGTGACTGGCAGGACAATTAATTGCTCTTCCACTAGAGGGCGGAATGTACAATTAACCTGTGTATCCACTCGTTGCCGTTCATACAACAGAAAGTTGAGTAAATTAATCGAGACGAGATCATTAATTAAACTTTTTTTCTTTTACATTGCTTAGTGGGTTCCGTTAGAGGTTTTCATGTAATGAAATCCTCCAATTGTAAAGTGTCTCGAGTGGCGCTTTTGCGAAAGGACAGCTGTTCCCCAAAGCGCGTCAAAAAACAAGGTAAGTGCGCACTTTATAGCATTATAGCTTGAGCCAGAGGAACTTAATAAAAACATAGATAAATAGGAACTATCTTCTCGGAATATTGAAAATATTCGTTTTGCCATTAAAAAAAAAAAAAAAAACGCAAACTGGTATTGCCCAATTCCAATATGGTGGTTCAACGCATCAATTTGTGACGGGTACAGAGTCTGCATCTGTATTACAGACGCTGTCCTTGCCAAAACTGGCCGTTTGTGTTGATTTTCCGTATAGTCAAATACATAAAGACATACTTTTGTATCTTTTAAACCACCGTTTTGCTGGTCATACATCTTAAAATGGTGCATTTGCTAAAAAGTAAAGCTGCGCACTAGTTTGATCCCAATACCAATATTGGGGCTCAAACTTTGCGCTTGCTTTGCAAGCTTCCACTTTTCTTTACAAAATGGTCCTTTGGTTTTAATTTACCATACGGTTAACTCCAAAGCAACGTTTTGGCATCTATAAAAATTCTGTATCGCTGAAATTCATTAAAAAGCAGAGACCTCCTGGTGACGGTGTGTCCCAATACTTTTGTCCGTGTGACATTCCTTCAAACTCACCCCGGGTGTCACCCCAGCCGGTCACCCAGCAGTACTGTCCTGGCTTGAGGATGGTTTTCTTGCGCGGCAGGCATGCGTAGCGGATGAAGTTGGACGGGAGGATGTCGGTGGTGGCCTTCACCAGGGCGATGTCATAATCCAGCTCACTGTGTGCCGGGTAACGGAAATTCTCGTGCCGGTAGATACGCTTAACCGGGAAGACCCTCTCGGCCGTTTCGGAGCGCCTCAGCTGGTGCTTGCCCAGCACAATCCTCCACGAGCTGGCATCCTCCGCCTTCCCCCTGTAAAAAGGAGGTTGATTTGAACAACTTGAATGTGAAAATTGGCTTTTTATTTCAGGGTTACTTTTGGAAGCAGTGAGCAGCAGTAAGAATCCAATTCTTGTGGATCAGAGTTCCTCCACAGACGTGAATGTGATGTTTGCTGCCTCTGGGACGAACCTGACAAACAAACAGACCGGAAGGCACCTCAGTATCATCATGTGACATTCTCTACCGCAGTGGTGCTCAAACTCTTTCCACCAAGCCCATCTGCCCCTTTTGAGAAATCAAAAGTGGCCTCGTGAGCAGAAAACATTTCCCACCCTTTGGCATGTATTCTATTTTCCTCTGAATCTACCTGCAGGGAGACCTGCCAGGGCCACGAGTGCGGCCTGGCCTCGTTGCCCGACACAATCCTCTCGGCCATGTGGGGATTGAAGTAGGCCATCCCGCAATCTCGGGGCCAGTCTGCAAGGAAAAACACACAGCCGGTAATCGTCAAGCATGTTATGATTCTGATGATTATATGCGTGTGTATTCTCACCCAAGTGTAACATCTTATGGTGCTTGCCAGGCATGTACGTGAACGCGGCCTCGCTCAACAGGGGCAGCATCAGCAAACACACGACACGAAGCGCGGCGGCCATCGTCAAAAATCGCCAGGCCGCTCGCCGCCCGCCGTTTTTATAGCAGCAGGTACAGATACACACACGCAAACACACAATGAGTTGTATCACGAGGTGCTGGATTGTTCTCCTTTTCACATGCACACGTCAGTGGAAGCAAACATCATGTCATGTGACATACCGCAGTGGCACAGTGACCTTCAAATGACATCTGGGGGTAAACAACGCTTTGAAAAGAGCCAAAGCTGGCCAATTCGATCGGCCGGTCGATCAATCGATCGGGCCTTAGTTGTGATCGAGATATTTGCGCAACGATCCATATTCTGCAAGACGAAACACCTGCTATCCATCCAACAAGACACATCGTGAGAAGCACAACAGTGCGTATAATAACGAACCACGATAGCGGTGTCACGGCAGAAGGCCGAAACAATGCTTTTATTGATTTCAGCAAGGATATCAATATCTGACTGCATGTATGGATAACCGTATTGCTCTGCAACTTCCACTGCTACTCTGCAGCATGTTGTGGTGTGAAAAATAAGAGCACACTGGAAGTCACCAGTGAGTTTTTTTTTTTTAACTCTGAATGGGAATGTGCACGCTCATCTGAAACGGTGAATGGTCGCAGCCCCTCAACACGGTTCAACAAGTTGACTGTAGCGGAAGAGCATAACATGAGGTGCAGCCGCATCGTCCAACCAACAAGGCGTGTCAAGCGATCGGGCAAACGGCGCCAACGATATTCGCAAAGGGTCTCGTGTTTGGACGGCACGCAAGCTCACGTACCGAATGAAATGTCTCTCGATGTCTTTTTAATCCACTACGAGAATTAAATCACTTCAGCTCGTAATTCATCAATCTAATATTTATTATGATTCAATGTCTAGTCTAGCATCTCCCGATGTGAACAGAATGAACGGAATGAACGCGTCGTCTACTACAAGTCATCAGTTTGGATGAAAATAAAATCATAAACTAACACATAAATAATATATAAAACATGTACACGAATTTCAATGACAATTACAGTCTATTCATAATAAATGAAATACAAGGTGAGACAGAATTCATGACTCACGTGCTATCAGTGCCGTGTTGACACAACTCTGTCATATGATTAAAAACGAGGAATGACGTAATTAAATGGCATTCAACTGTTTTCGTCACGTCGCGTGAGTTTTTTTTGGTACGCCCAGCCTGAGGTCAATATGAAACAGACAGACGGATAAAATGCCCATTCAGATTCCTGCACTCCTCTCAGCTCATCAGTACGGCACTGAAGTTAGTCGTTCTTTGCAGGGGATGAGGAATTTATGAGGATAAAGAATATACGACTGCGACGACTGTTATGTTGTCTTGATAGCAGCTCAACGTAGATGCTAATTAGCGTTCGCATTCAAGTAGCTCGTTTGAAGGCTAGGCTAGTTTTATTGTAAATACACGAGACACAATATGTCTTTCTTTTAGTTTGATTGTAAATTTGGGAGAGGCGACGCACAGCTTGAAGTATCTTTTTTGGGAATTTTTCTTCACTATTTGCCAAACTCAACACTGTACAGTAGACCCGGACTTGACTTCTAAGATATTGTTGTTGTTTTTTTCTGTTTGCTTTTGTTCATAAATCTGTCTGGACTCAAGTTAGTCAAGAATTCTGATCCTGTAGTAAATAAGTTCAACACAATGAATACATAAAATAAGTCAAATGAATAAAATAATACAATAAATCATTTTAGTTGCGTGACTTTGATCGAAATCGTCTGTGCAAAGAGCAGCGATAGAGAAGCAGCCGTGTGTATTTAGTTGTTGAAAAATAACATTTTCAATGTCACTTATGTGTCATAAAACAAAGTGCAATAAATCTGTTGAGCCCTTTGATCAACTAACTTTTTTCTATTTTTTTTTTTCATCTATACATTTTAAATCTGTTTCACTGTCCTTCGCGACTGTAAGCTGTGAATTTTCCTGCCGTGGGATGAATCGATCTCATCTTTTATCTTATTCGTCTTCCTTTTTCGAGCCTCCACACCACCCCGGTCGAAGTGACCTCATCACGCTCCTCTTCCGGATGGTCCCGCGCGAGAGCGAGGGGGATTTCGGAACGTTGTGGTTTCCTTCCTCCGCTCCGCTCGCTTCACCGGGCGCCTCCTCCGTTTCGCCTCCGCCGTCTTGCGTCGCTTCGCCTCCGTCGGCCGGAGGGGTCGTGTCGGGGAGCGCCGCAGCGGGAGGGGCAGGAGGGTTGGGTGCTTTGGTCTTCTTCTTGGAGGGCCGCTTGACAGCTTGGGGACTGTTGTGGACCTCCAGGTGCTTCCGTATGGCCTCGGTCAGCACCTCCGGCTCCACGGACGCGCCGTGGACGTCCCATGTCATCCCGTCTTCATCCCACTGCACCTGCTTCATGCTGCTCCTCCTTTTCCCCCCCAGCTCTTCCTTCTCCTCCCCGGATTGTGCCTTAAGACACGACCTTCGTCGCTCCAAAATGTCTTTCGGCTTCTCCTCCTCCTCTCCCTCGCTCAGCGGGAACATGCTGGAGGAGGGTGACACCAGGTTGGAGTTGGAGCCCACCGAGGCTTTCAGGTCCAGTTTGGATCCGGGTGGCGAGCCCAGGAGGGAGTGGGAAGTGTTCCTGGGAAGGTCCAACCAGGAACTCGCTGGGGAGAGCGTCTGCGCTGGGGAGAGCGTCTGCACAGCCGCGTCCACCATTTTGTGCCTGGCCTTCTCCTTGAGGAAGGGCTCCGTTTGGGGGCCTCCCCCGGAGCATCTGCACCCATCACAAAGAATGGAATCGCTCAGTGAGGAGACCAGAGGTGGCCTCCTGAACTGCGGTTGCCACGGCAACTGGAGGTGGCGCACCGAAGCTACTTTGTCCGGTTTTCGCTCTTCATCCACTGAACTTGACACCCGACCTTGGGGATCGGACGTCGGGGGCGTCTCTTCCTCAGGGAGGCATCCAAGGAACGGTGACGCGCCTTCCTCTGAACACATGGATGTCGCTATCGGGGAGGGATACTGAAAATAAAGTAAACGGTTACCGGGAACGCCCTCCTCCTCTGTGCTCGTCGCCCGGAAAAAGGACTCGGGAGGCGGGGTGGTGGATGCCGGAGGGGACCTCGGCAAGTCTCCCTTCTGGGCGAGTAGTCCGCTGATGGACTCCAGAGGTGATGTGACGCAGCGATCCACGAACGGCAGAGTGGGCGTCAGCAGCGGGGAGATGAACGGCGAGGAGGCGAGAGTGGTCGGAGAGCCAGGCACGGCGCAACAAGCCACGTCCCTCGCCAGGCTGCCGGGCCGCGACGTCCCACCGGCCCACACCACCGTGTCGGGCGTGCTGCTGCGGCTCTGCGCGCTGCCTCCGCCGCTGCAGCGGCTCCAGCGCCGCACGTTGGACACCCAGCGCTCGCCGAGCGCGGGTGGGTTGTGGGCGTCCGGGGACTGCAGGCTGCCCACGCGCCGCCGCCCGTGGAAATGCTGCAGGGGGCCCTGTTCGGCGCTGGCGCTGCGGCGCAGGTCCGCGCCGCTCCACGCCGGGTCGCGCTTGAAGACGTCCATGGAGCTCTTGGAGACAGAGAAGATGGGCGTCTGGGCCTCGCCGTCATCTGCCGGGGCCTCCGTCAAGCTGGAGTAGGACACGGACGGACTGACGGAACAACACACCGGCGGGTACATCTCGGAGTGGGGTCGCACGGGCCTCGTTGCCATGGCAACAACCTGACAATTAGGTCGGGATATAGGGGTACTTTTACTTATTTTACTTTTCCGAGGGGTTGCTCTGTTTTGGGGGGGGGGTACCACTACTTATATATACACACACACACACACTACTACGACTATTTAGAAAGAATAGGAAACTCCCCACTTCCTACCTTAAAGTAGCGTCCTTTTCTTTGCAGCTAAATGGCGTCCCGTTTTCCTCCTGACATCTTTTCTCGGTCCCTCAAAAACAGCCCTCACTTCTTCCGGGTGATCCTCCGTCCGGTGAGCGAGTGTGGTTTCTGTGAAACAAACTGTAGCATAAATATGGCGTTGAACAAGCATGCGAGTCGAGTGCGTGCGTGCGTGAGAAAGCCGGTGCCGTGGGTGTGGCGCTTCTTGGCCACCGAGGATTAACTCGCCACCTGTCATCCTATTAGCTGATGGCCAATCTCTGGACACCCTGTGTGTGTGTGTGTGTGTGTGTGTGTGTGTGTGTGTGTGTGGCTCAAGAGTTAAAATCAGGTCAGCTGACAGGATTTGCATGCACACTTATTCTTGTACAGGATAAGATTAATGACTCTTTCCCCCCCAAATTTACTCTCACCATCCATTTTCCACCCGGCTGATTTTATTCAGGCAGGGGCTGTCCAAATTAGGACAATAACTGATGCGCTAATCTGTAATATTTCGGTTCAGTCAATTCATCTAGTTCGATTCCACTCTGTCCCGAATAAAATGACTGACCAATAGAGGGCGCGGAGATCTGAGAACCAGCCAGCTGTGTCCATCTCACACGCAAGCACATACACACACTTCAACAGGCAGCGTCGCTGAAAAGTATCAAGAAGAAAACTTTCAATTGAAGGTAAAAGAAAACGCATCACGAGAGCGCCCGCGCCGCTTGACTTTGCGTCCGTCTATCATCCGATTCAGGTCCGATGATTCCGGTGGGCCTCATCGCAGGACTTCTGGTGCTGCTTCTTTTCATTCTTCTCCTTCTGGGCTTGGTGATGTTCTATCTGTGGAGGAACAAGAGGAGACGCGATCGCAGACAATACCAGGAGCTGGTGGCCGGCGCGCCTCACATCCCACCATGCAGTCCTGCGGTCATCCCGGTTTCGCAAGGCGCCTACGCCAAGTCAGTACCTTTAAAAAAAAAAAAAAAAACACACTGCAGCGATTCTCACGATGTAGGGTTATGCTTTTTTTTTTTTCTTTTATGAAGGCCTGGCCAGATCCCATTCGCGTTGCCCCCTCGCTTTACAACGCCTCAGAGGGACACGGAGGAGGGCGAGGAGAAGGCAGAAGTGATGAATTCGGAGGCTCGCAGGGACATTCTGGCCCATCGGGGTTCTCTCTCCGTTCAGAGTAGGTCACCGCGTCACATACGGTTTTAGGTGTATTCATGTTTAGGTTTGTAATATATAAAAAGTAGTCGCACGCAGAGAGACCCCTCGGCGGCGATCTCTTTTGTCTTCACAAGAACCGTTGACTGTTCGTTGAAAGGTCATGAGGATTGAGTAACATTTGTGTCATTCAAAAACATGGGACATACATGTACATGGGGTCAGTACAGACTTAGGCACTTCCTAATCTTACTTGTATTCATGTTGCAGGTTGGTACCCGGTGGGGGCGGTGCTGGCCGGCCTGTATTCTGGCCCGGGGCTGAGTGAGGTGGTGGCGCCCCCGCCCGGCATGGCCACACGCCTCTGCTTCTCGGTGGAGTACCGTCACAGCAGCGAGCAGCTGGCCGTCTCTTTACTCCGCCTGGGCAACCTTCTGCCTCCTTTTCACGCCAACGTCACCATGGTGCAGCTCCGCCTCCTCCCCGACGACCGGCGCCCCCGCCAGGCCAAGGCCAGGACCACCGGGCCCGACCCGGAGTTCAATGACTCCTTCGTGTTCCAGGTGAGAATGTGAGCACACGCTTGATGAAGTGACTCCAGTATTCAGTAGTCGCCACACACACAGGTCTCAGGAGCGCAGGTGTCACGGAGCACGCTCAGTGTGTGCGTGCTGAGCGTGTCACATGACGGCAAACGGCACGCAGTGGGCCAGGTGCTGTTTCCGCTGCAAGGAGAACTGGGACAGGCCGGCAGGGTACTCTGGAGGGACCTGGACACCGAAAAGCACCATCACGTATGTGCATGGGTGGCATAGTGGCGCCTTGACTTATCAGTGGAATTCATAACTCGGGACTTGTAGTGCAAATCCTCTTTCCCAATTGAAATGAATTGAAATGACCTTAATTGGTTCCAGTCACCCAAGACCAACATTTTTTAATCTAGTTTCACTGTATTGGGGGTCAGTCTGGAATGGATTCCTCACGGCAAACTGAGGTTCAATGTACTAATGCTTGTGTCCCTGTCAGTATTCAGAACTTGGTGACGTGTTAGTGTCCCTGAGCTACAACCCAACTCTACAGCGCCTTTCCGTAGAGGTCCCGAAGGCTCGAGGAATGCAACCTCTCATGGACGCGGGTGGGAGCTCATCCAGGTGGTCTCTTCTTGCTCGATGTGCTTCACTTCAACATCTCTTCTGTTCCCAGGCGTGTGGATGCGGGCGAGCTTGCAAATCCACACTCAGGTGATTAAAATCAAAAGCAGTGGGGTGGTGAAGGCGGACGGCGAGCCGGCTTTCGAGTTCAGGACGAGCTTCAAGCTGCGGGTGGAGCACATGGACGAATCCTGCCTCCGTTTGGAGGTGTGGCGGCAGACTGATCACCTTCCCTCAGGTGACTCACAACCTCCTGCAGTAGAGTTAGTCATTGATTGTAGACTGCAAAATATGTGACTGTACCAGACACCGCGGGATGCCATAAAACCACCCAAGCCGATCTATCTATTTATCTGAATTTCTCATTGTTTCTCACCATTTCTGCCCAGAACCTTCAGTCCCGCTGGGAGTCGTGGTGCTGGGGCCGTTCATGTATGCTCGGGGCCCGCAGCTGCAGCACTGGATGGACATGGTCAACACACCACTCCAGCCGGTCAAACTGTGGCACGGACTCTGCACAACCAATTAAAGCAAGCATGTGTAGTGTGCATCTGCAGTATATATTCCGCTGAAGCTGCTAAATAGAATTAAAACAAACTGAATCAAGGGTTAATTCAGTCATATATAACAATAAAGGTGTTCAGTTGTTTGTGGGGAAATGTTTCACACAAAAGGGGAGAGAAAAAAAAATTAAGTGCTTCAGTTCACAAATTTAAATACCGCATATGTCCAGGAGTGGCGCACATCTTCTCTTTTGCCGCTGAATTAGCGTAGAATGAGAATGAACGCGGAAGTCCTGTTCACGCGAGCGTGTGCTGACGTAGCGACGTTTTAGTCAGATGTAAATACAGATTTTCACCATGAAAATAAATGAGAACACATTACTGGAAGGACAAAAAGTCGTGTTGGTGCCATACAATGCGGAACACGTGCCGAGGTAATCGCAGAGTAATATCAGGGTACTCAGAAGATTAACTTTGTCTTTTTTTTTTATTTGTATATGTACATGGTTATGTTTACACGTTTACCTGAATATTTTTATTTTATTACGGGTAAAGTACGGTGAATAATGACAAATTAAGTTAAAAAAAATAGAAATAATATTTTACGTGAAGGAAGGAAGGGTGCAAGTAATCGGGTCTGAATACGAACGGGAAAAAAGGAAGGAGGTAAAAGAAGAAAAAAAGCATGTCTGAGGTGGAAGAAAGACAGAAAAACTGGTAAAATGCATTAATCAAAAGTGGGTCCGAGGGAAAGAAGGAAGGAGGTCAGGGATGGGGCGGGGTGTAAATGTAATTAAAAATGTGTGTACCAACATTTACTTACTCTGTAATATCTCATTGTTTTTTTCTATTTATCCGTGTGAGGTACCACGAGTGGATGAAGTCTGTGGAGCTGCAGCAGCTGACGGCCTCAGAGCCTCTGACTCTCGAGCAAGAATATGATATGCAGCGCAGCTGGAGGGAAGATGCCGACAGTAAGTCAAATGAGGCAATGACACCATTGCAAAATATATGCTGGAAAAAAAATATCTACAATTTTTGAGCCACACATTCCACGGACATTAAGAAGTGTTTTTAAGTGCGGTTGAATGATACCGTGTTGTCACAGAGTGCACCTTCATCATCCTGGACAAGAGGCGCTGGGTGGACTCTGGTGCCGAGGAGGCGCAGTGCATGATCGGAGACGTCAACATCTTCCTGACAGACCCTGGGGATCCTTCCTTGGCTGAGCTGGAGATCATGATAGCAGGTCAACAAACAACCGAGATTCGGCACCAGCCCTCTTGTTTGATTTAAGTCACTATTTTTAATTTAATTTTTTTTTTTTTTAAACAGAGCCCAGTTATAGGGGAAAAGGCATTGGGAAAGAGGTGACGCAGATGATGATGCACTACGGTGAGCTTTTTACTGCACATTAATACTTGTACATTCTCCACTAAAACACTACGAACGTTTTGTTTCATAACAACTATGGTCATGTTTTTTTGAAGATTATTTTTCCCCGAAATGAAAATTATTACATCGTGAATAAAAAAAAAAAAAAAAATTCACTATCATTGCCTTGTCTACCACCAGGGGTCGCCAAACTAGGCATCAGCAAATTTCAAGCAAAAATTGGCTTGGACAACGAGGTCAGCATTGCTATGTTCAAGAAACTATACTTCCAACAGGTAAAAATAATACGAATGGGACAAGCTATTGTTTTGATTGCAAAAACGGTCTTGTGATTTAAAAAAAATTGTTGTTGTCGTCATTGGACCATGAGGCATCACACAGTATTTGAATACAAATGTACTGTACGTGTGATGCAGGTGTCCGTGTGTCAGGTGTTCAAGGAGGTTACCTTGGAGACGGCGGTGGACAAGTCGCTTCATCGGAGGCTGTTGCAGGAAGTCGGTCACGTGATCGAGCGGGACTACTTAGCGTCCCGCGGCGCGAGACGGGAAGCGACGTCACAGACGGTCACGGACACTCCCATGTGAGCTTGAGGCGTAGCCTCAGCACGTTTATTTCATGGCGTGATCACATTGCAAGAGGAACGCCGCAAAGTGGCGTGAGAAGACAAAGGACGCTTTTTAAAAACAGCCGGTTGTACAAAGAGCGACAATTCCATAGGAATTTTCACACGTGTGCCCCCCCCCCTTTTTTTTTTTTGTCTTTCTGCGTGAACGAGAAGCGACGGCCATCTTAATGAGAAGATTTTTTTCTTCAAATCCCCAGTTTTAGCTTTTGGACGTTTGCATGGATTCCAGGAAGTCCTTGACGGCGGCGGACAGGTCGCCGAGGAGATGGCGGACCACGCCCTCTTGTTTACGGGCCCAGGTCAGACTTTGGTCCAAGGCGGCATCCACTGACACGCACACGTCCTCCCGCTTCAGCTCCGTCAATCGGCAGGTGGCAATCAGAATGCCTGCGCCGAGGAGCAGCAGCAGGGAGAGCTTGAAGAGCAGGCCGAGCACCGAGCGGCAAGGCTTGGACGCCGCCACCGCTACGGACTTCTTCCCAGCTGATGTGACACAAAGACAGAAGATTGTTTTTAAAAAGTCTGATTGTTATTATTTTTTTAATCCTAAAAAGTCATCTTCCAAGAATTGCCTGATTATGACCCAAAAAAATAAAGTCTTTTCCTTTTTTTAGTCCTACAAGTTTTCTGTTCTGACATTAGTATTTGAACTGAGCTTGTTGGAGTGCACGTGCATTACCCGAGGCCTGTCCGTTCTTCTTTTTGCTCTTCCGCTCCTCAGTCTTCTTCTGCTGCTGCTGTTGCTGTTGCTTCTGCTCCTGGATGGCGGCGGCGGCCACCTGGGCGTTGTACTCCTTCCGGCGCTTCTCCTTCTCCTCGGCCTTCTCTCGCTTACGCGCCTCCTTCTCACGGGCCTCGCGTTCCCGCTTTTTGGCCTCTCGCTTCTTCTCCAACTCTGATGAAATGAGAGAAAGAGATTTTCTTAACGCCCCGCAAAAAGTTTGAGGATTACAAAAATGTCTTTCAGAAAAAATAAACTACTTTTTTTTTTTTAATGTGTAATTTTAAGTTCACACACAATTTGTGAAAGATCAAACTTTGTTTCCTCACCTTTTTCCCTCAGAAGTCGCTTCTCTCGTGCGCGGTCAGCCTCTTCCTGCAGGATCTGCATGTGCTTGAGAACCTAATAAGGGGGGTGGGGGGAACAAAAAACGTGACTTACTTGGCATCTTTTGTGCTGTTTTTCTTTCTGCGCATCTTTCTTACTGTCAGAGATTTTCACTCGGACAGTTAACCAAGACTCGATTCAGGAACAGATCGACTTTCACTGCCGGCAGGAGGTGCAGTTCTCCATGAAGCCACTTAGTGTGCGCTTCCCACTGTCACCCGACCTCTGCAACCTCTGCCGGCCTTTTCATTGATTGTGTATGCAAATAACAAGTAATACATCAGAAAAACCCTCCCATCTTCATTTACATGCCACACCACTGGACAGCCCCATTGAGTCGCCCCTCAGTGAACCCCGAAAGACAAAGCATTCCCTTGGTACCAGCACCAACATCCATAAACTAACAGAAACGTAGACATTTTAATGAGCGGTGTATCCATGAACTGATAAGTCTGTGACCTGGCTCGTGACCCTTTCTCATGATGGAGCGTACGAGTACTCCTACAGAGTACTCCCGTCCAAAGTTAAATCTTCCTTTCCAAGTTGTCATATAACAGGCGCCAGTGTGTCTACTAATGAGGGTTAAATCTTTCTCTCTGAGATGTGGTCAGGTACCATGCGCTCGGGTCCCTGGACCTAAAAACTGACCCCTGATTCTCTGTGCTTCCATTGTGTGCAAGATGTTCTGAACACAAGCATTTCGAGGTCAATCAAGCATGTAACAAAATGAAACTTTAAAACATAACATTGTATTTGTCTATCCTAACACTTACCCTGGTGGCACACTGCTTGCACTGCTTCTCGTCGAGGCAATCTCCCGCGGCTTTGGCCAGGCCCGCATCCAGAGGATTGTCCTTCAGGTCCAACCACTTCAGACTCTGACAACCAAATACAAAACCCGTGCTATTAGCTTAGCCTATTCTAACGACAGTTAGCAGCAAGAAGAGAAATGCCACTTTTGGTTGGTGCATGCGTCCACCGACCCGCAGCTGGGAGAAGCTGACAGGTAGCGTGCTCAACTTGTTGTTGTACAAGTCCAAGTGCTGCAGGGCGGTAAGGTTCCCCAGGTCATCCGGCAAACGGGTCAGTTGGTTTTTGCTCAGGTCCAGCTTCACCAAGTGGGTTAGGTTGCAGAACTCTGGCTGCAATGTAAAGGAGAAAAATTGCTCGGCAAAAGGATTTCAAGCCACGGTTATGACTTCAAAGTCAGGTTTTAAAGCAGGGCTAGGTTACAATTTCAAACCTGGGCAAGGGTTTTAATTAGGGTTGTGGTTTCAAATTAAGGCTTCAAAAGCGGGTGAAACTTGTTCAAAACTACATCATTCCGCCATTTTGCATCCACGTGACACAACCGTTTCACCTGCTACTAATTAAATACTCAAAATACAAAAAAAAAATACTTACCGGCAGAGAGGGGAGGTTGTTGCACGACAAGTCCAAAATAGTCGCTTTGGTGAATAAAGCCTGTTGGGATTAATTCATTATTATTTGTTGAGTAAAGAAAGTGACAAAGTCTTGTCACTCAATCGACCATAAATATTAATAACGGTGCGTTTTTTAAGCTCACACCGCACGAACGCAAACTCACCAGCTCCTTAAAGGGCACCTCGGTGAGGTTGCACAGACTCAAATCCATCTCATTATCGCTTATTTTATCTTTTAAATTAAGCACTTTGTTGCTTTTGCTCATTGTGTCTCCCTGTGGAAAGAAAAAAAAATTACTCGCGTGACGGCATTTTTTTATTCTGATTATTAATATGTGTGTATAAAAACATATATGTTTATTTATATTACACATATACAAAATTACCATTTTCTGTTCATGGCACACTCACCTGTTTTATTTTTTTACGTCGTTTCAAAAACTGTCTCGAAGCGAGGCAAGCGACAAAGACAACAGGAACTTGTTGAAAATGTCAGAAAAGTGAAGCAAAAAGAGGCGCTGGGGCGACGTGTGCTGTTTTGGGGCGACTTGGAGTCTGAATGAAAATCCACGTCACTGATTTGAGCCGCACAGAGGAGGCGGGGTACAGACTAGCGCCCCCTCCACTACCGGAGGGCGCATTACACACACACACACAATAAAACACGACAGCTGCAGCTGTAACAAAGCGCTTAACAAAACCGTTAACATAAAGTAAAATAATAAACACAACACGTAACATAAAACACAGACAGTTGTGCAATCCTAACCACTTTTCCCTCATACGCTTTGTTGTTGAAAGCAGTTTGAGATGAAAGAGGAGAGAATCAACGTTTCACCGCAAAAATTACTCACAATGTATCAAATCCATGTGAAATTAGTAAAACAAATAATGAAGTAATATTACTACTTAGAATAAACTATTACACGATATCTTCCTACATGACCATTTTAAAAAAAAGTGAATTTCATAGAAAAAAAAATCTGAGAAAAAAAAACTGCCGTGAATTTTGCCATTCAGCTCATTGTTACAAAATAGCAAGTTGTGCACGTCTGCCTCACCATAGAAAATGGAAGGAAGGTTTTTCTTTTTTTGTTTTCATAAAACAGGGAAAGGTTGTGAAATCCAATTTTTATTTCAGGCATGCATGTTGTTAACAATTTACTTAACCCGTATATTTAAAAAGAACTCTGTTGTGCGTCAATAATACTACATAGCAACGGCATGCACATGCTGTCTAAAGCCTGTTTACTCTGAGGTGTCACCATATTAACGACGTTTTTGGTCTCTCATTCTTGGTGGTTTCTTTGCCAGATGAAGCACATGACGGCTAAAAACAAAGACACAGCAGCGACATAGATGATGAAAAAGATTCTGTTGATTTTTAAGGTGAGTCTGGTCCAGTAGCCGGGCTTGTCCTCCTTTTCCTTCTTGCTGTCCAGAAGCCGTGTGAGGGCCTCCATCAAGTCTTTCGTCTCATCAGAGAGTCTTTTCAGAGACCTAGACTCCATCATTTGGGCGTCCTGCAAAGGGTTTGGTGGATTATTGTGAATATCTGAGTGACAAAGAACGTTGTTGATTGCTGAGTTATACACGCACACACAAACACACACACACACACACACACACACACCTTTGGGATTTCAGGTGGATTTTCATCTGTGGGCCCTTTACAGATGCATGCACAATTTCGATTTTTGTTCTCTGCAAGCAAATAAAATGTCTTCTCATTATAGCAACACAATTTAAATGGCACAATTTATTTACAACATTTGAAGCATCATCACAAGAAGCCTTCTCACCAGTGCCGCTTCGATCTTCGCCGGCCGTCGCCTCCTCGCCGCCATTATCTTTTTCCATCAGGTACATAGCAAAGATGGTCTCCAGCAGGCTGAGCAGCATCAGAGCAAAGATACCGAAGCAGTAGACGGCTGAAGGGGGAGCAGCGGAAGGCGTCAATGAATGCAAAAGTGACTCCGTTTATGTTTGGGAGGTGGAATTTCGCACGGCTGACCTATGAGAGGGATTTTGTTGGAGGAGCAGGGCAGGATCTCATTGAGGATGAGCTGCATGACGGTGACGGCCAGCAACACAGTCACCTTGAAGCTCAGCTTCTCGCCTCCTCTGTCTGAGATGAAGAAGGAGGCCAAGTCCAGACCCAGGAAGAAGAGGACCGGGAATAGAAAGTTGATGATGTACAGCACTGGCCTTCTCTTCATGTTGATCTGCGACATCCCGACAAAAGTTTGGCAACAACAAAATTCAGAGGTCGTGGACAGTAATTCTCAAAGTGTGGTGCAGTATCTGTGGGAAACGACTTACAGTATAAACAATCATGTCTTGCTCGAAGCCGAACCCGCTGCCGGTCTTGTTGACGACGGTCATACCGATGAAGATCCACTCGTTCTGCGTGCGCATTACCTCTCGCGACCACTGGGTAGCCTCGGCAGAGCTGAGCAAGTGAAGCAGCTGGAGTTCCTGCACTGAGACAGGTATCAGGTGTTTGCTGGGCTTTTCGACTGACCTGCGGAGTTTTTTGAGGAGCCTCACATGAGTGGACCACAGACTTGAAGGTGAGGTTGCAACTCTGCCGGTCGAAGGGGAACTGGTAGATGTGCAACTTGCACGTGCTGACCAGCACCTCGTCATTTTGCACGTGCACACGACCGTCGCTCAAGATGGTGAGGTGTGGGCTCGGCGGGGCCTTGTCCTTCTCGATCCTGCGCGGCAACAGCAAGATGCAGAAAGTCAGGCTCCAGCAAACTTGGCGACATTTTATCAGATTTGTTTTTTTTTTCCGTCAAAATTCAAGAGGGAGGTTTAAGGTTGGGTGAGTTGAATAAATGGAACGACTTACATTTCTTCAATGGTGAGATCTGGTTTCCAAAACAATTCAGTGGGAAGACAGATGCTCTTAATCCCGCAAAACTGCTCTGGATCCCAAGAGATGTGATCATTCTGCCAGCTCTATGCAGAAAAGACAATTAGAAAAAAATATTTTAGAAAGGCTGTCCATTTTAAAATTCACAGGAAAAAAAATAAAAATCAAACTGCTCTGGATCCCAAGAGATGTGATCATTCTGCCAGCTCTATGCAGAAAAGACAATTAGAAAAAAATATTTTAGAAAGGCTGTCCATTTTAAAATTCACAGGAAAAAAAATGGTAGAGCAAAAAAGTGCTTTGAAGGAACCGTGAAAATCCAAACGTAGGGAACGAAGGTCTGGTCTATCTCGCTCTGTTGACAGGCAAAAAGAAAAGTGCAAATATTAAAATGCATTCAAGTGTAAACAACAAGTTGTTGAAGGGGAGGATGACCCGGCCCCAATTTGGCAACCCCGCCACCCCCACCCCGAAGAAAAAAAAGCATTAATGGCTGAGTTAATTATTCATTGAATATGATGTAAGCCACGAATTACAGTTTAGACAGCCTTCAAGCTGTGTCACTGTCAGATGGGTTAACCGCAAAGTGATTCTGAAGCCTTTCGTTTTATTTAACCCTTTCAGGGATGGCGGTTACTCAGTGGACAGCTTATCATGTGATCAGGTTACAGGTGAATGAGCTGTACACTGTAACAACAGTTATATGTTAGATCTTATTCGCCAATTAACACATTCCAGAGGACATGTGAGGCATCGACGCTGTTAAAAAAATAATAGTAATAATTACCACATCAAGAATGGCATAGAGGACGACCTCCAGTGACACCACCGTTGGCTTTTTGTAGTCTTTGACAGGCCTTGTCATGGAGTACAAAGCACTGCGTGCGGTCAAGTTGAGGTGGTCCAGCACCTCTTGGTAAGAACACACTCGCTCCGAGGACGCCGCCACTCCTGCACAGAGCAAAAAAATAAATAAAATTTGGCCCAACACAATTCAACTACAACCAACGATAAAGGCAATCATGAGCTCACCCGTGAGGAGTAGCATGACGAAGAAGTATCCAGAAGCGAGCATCCTGACGCAGTGAGTATGTTCTCTTTGATTGGTATCAAAAGAGAGAAAGTGGGGCTGGGCCACATTTAAATCCCTCAAGTCCAAATTGCAAATGTAATTATGCATGGCGCCAGAATCTGCTCGTTACCGCCTCATTTGTGGTCATTTCCATTCTCGTTTGTCTGACTGAGCACTTTAACACTCAAATGTCATTCTTGCTCTGTGTTTGATATTCGGTGATAAAAGATGTTGATGTTATTGAAAGAAAAAGTGTTTTCATAATATTTTGTCACTGCTGTTTCAAAATATGAGGGTGAATGGACGGACCTTTAAAAAAATAAAAAGAGTGCTTTCATGACAGAATTGGTTGTTTTTGTTGCGAAATACCGTGTCTAAATGACATCGATTCGTGTTTTTGTGGCCAGGTGAGAAACGAAACGCCATTTTGTTTTTGTCGCTATGGCAGCCCATCCAAATCCCCGATTTGTTCCCAAATGGGTGTTATCTTGGCATTGAAAATGCAGATGTTGCACACTTGAAGCAATCTATTTATTTATTTATTTATTTTGCCAGTCGTATTTTTCATTCTGGGTTTTATTTAAAAGCTGGGGGTAAGTGTAGAGTGTGAAACGGGTAGAAACTTCACGCCATTTTGATTTCATGGAAATTAGGGGAAATTACGGGCGATAAAAGTGCAATTACGGCCTTTTCAAATCGAATGGAAAGTTGAATAGCGGGCAGCGCGATTGTGGAGCCAACTTCAGCGTCGTGTTTTAATTCAAGAGGATCAGTCAGTACAAGGGTATGTTTTTTTTTTTTTGCTCCGACATTTATTCTTTATAATCATGCTCAGCAAAGACAGCACACACAAACACACTTCGACACACGTTAATGGCAGTAATGTGCCTCATTGATTAGCGCTGCAAACAGCGCTAGGTCCACTTGGAAAAGAGAATCGCCAAAAAGAGGCTGACCACAGCAAGATAGAAGATGAAAAAGATTCTGTTGACCCTGGTGGCCACTTGTGTCCAGTAACCCATCTTGTCCTTGTCCTTCTTGCCCTTGAGCAGCACGGTTAGAGTTCGTTCCATCTGGCCAAGCTCGCCCGACAACTTCTCCAGCGTTTGGCACAGGGCGCCACTCTTTGCCTGAAAAAACAAACAAACAAACAAACAAACAAAAACACGTGGGGTTAAATCGTACAGTCTGATCTTGGCACTAAATAGGGATGTTGAGACTCTCCTCTTTAGTTACCGGCATCAGTCCCGTTGGAGTTTCAGGCATCGAATAAAAGACTCCACTTTGCGTCCAAGCTTGCACTTCTACAAGCACAGCGACCAATCAGTGGTGTTCATGCAGAACTCATTGTAGTGAACGAAAACATTTTCATTCACAACTTGTGCCCGCTGGTTCTCACCTCCGTGTTGTTTGTTGCAGCTCGTTTGCATGTTTTGCTCGTCGCTTATTGTGTCTCCGTCGGCGTCCACGTCATCGTCTTCACTATGATTGTCTTTTTCCACCAGGTGCATCACAAAGATTGTCTCCAGCAGGCTAAGCAGCATCAGCGCAAAGATGCCGATGCAGTACACAGCTGAGGATGGCGTCATTTAGATTGCGATTTTCATAGACTGTATAAAAAATGAGTCATTTATCATGTACAGCGCATCCGGAAAGTGAGCACACTTTATGTAGGCGTAAAAAGCAGGATTGAAGAGGATGTTAAATACGTCCTGGTTTCATTCCTCTTCTTTCAAATTTTACAGTTTCAGATATACAGTAATAGTTAGCCTCCATCTAGTGGTTTACAGCAGAATTATGCAAACTCAGAATTTCATTGGAGAAGGAATTACTGTATCTCAGATCATGGTGCCTCATTAAAATGAATGGAAGTATAATTAATCTGTTCTAGCCTCTCAGAAAAAAAGTTCTTCAGCAAATGAAACGTGTATACCTATGAGAGGGATGGAGTTGGAGGAGGAGGGCAGGATCTCATTGAGGATGAGCTGTAGCACAGTGACAGCCAACATGACGGTCACCTTGAAGCTTAGCTTCTCCCCGCCCGAATCCGAGATCAAGAATGAGGCCAAGTCCAGGGCCAGGAAGAATAGCACGGGCAGCAGGAAGTTGATGATGTACAGGATGGGCTTCCTCCGCATGCTGATCTGGGCATTCATCGCAACGTCAGCTTCACACCATTCGGCAACACAATCACACTTCCGTGGATCCTAACTTGAAACCTCAAGCCTACTTAACCTTTCTATGAAGTTGCAACATTATTTTTTGCTGGAAATACTAAAATGAAACCCCAATCCTTTTTGGGTTCTTCACTTAACTCAAATAGTTGGGTCAAATGAATAACCCACACCGATTCTAACGATGTGGGGGGGGGGGTCTCAAAGCAGCAGGCCAACCGTGTACACGATGACGTCCTGGTGGTCTGGGCTGCTGGCTTTGATGGCGGTCACGTTCAAGTGGAGGAAGATCCACTCGAACTGCGTGGGCATCAAATCGCGTGACCACTCGGTGGCCTCGGAGGAGTTGTTGCTGGGCTGCAGGCGCAGGTCCTTGGCTGGAATAAAGTGAGGGAGGAGGTTGCCAAAACATTTCAATTCGACTGTAAATGTTGTAAATATTTTCAATTATTAATGTTGTTCAATATTCTTTCATATATTTTGAATTAAATATACATTGATAACATTTTAATTCATTTCAAACCACCATACATCAAGATTTTTTATTGTATTTTCCAAACATTTAATATTAATAGTTTTTAAATATTTTTGCCAAAAATATATCCTTTTAATGTTATATTTATTTGTTCCAAGTGTCTTTGTATTTAATTTCACATTTTTATTTTTCAAAATGTATTTTATGAATAATTATCAAAATATAAAATGCATTTTTAACATTTACAGTTGAATATCATTTTTGAAATCGTATTTTAAGATTATATTTTTTAAAACCCCGATTGTCCATCCCGATATTTTGGGGGGGTTATCTCTAAACCTTTATTTTCCTCGAAAATACATTTTGAAATGCCAATGATAAGTGTCTTTGTATTTAATTTCACATTTTTATTTTTTAAAATGTATTTTATGAAGAATTATCAAATATATAAAATGCATTTTTAACATTTACAGGTAATATCATTTTTGAAATTGTATTTTAAGATATTTTTTTAAACCCCTGTCGTCCGTTTTGACATTTTTTGAGGGTTATCTTTAAACCTTTATTTTCCTCCAAAATACATTTTGAAATGCCAATGTCGTTCGTTGCACTTCATTGTCGTTTGGCGCGACTCACCCGAGTGTATGATCGATTTGAAGGAGAGGTTACATCTCTGTGTGTCAAAGGGGAACTTGTAAATGTTCATGCGACACATGCTGAACAGCACTTGGTCATTCGTGACCTCCACCAGGCCGTCAGCGCTGATGGTGACGTACAGATTCGGCGGGGCTTTGTCCTTCTCTGCCCTGGAGCGAGACATTTTGAGTTGGTGGCATGTTGAGCTGGACCCGAAGGACGCTTTGGCACTTACATCTCCTCGATGGTGAGATCCGGCTTCCACAGAATTCCAACGGGAATGGACACATTATTGATCCCGCAGAACTCTTGGGGATCCCAGGAGATGTATTCGTTGTGCCACCTCTGAAAACCACAAAAAAAGCTTTTAACTCATGTGCCTTGCTTGAATGATCTATTTTGTCTTCTTTGACTGCATGAGGGTTTTCAGTAATCAACATCAGCTATTGTTATTAATCCTTTCATGCACCCTGCAACCTGATCACGAATGCACCGATAGGTGGTCTGCTAACCACCAATGGACCCCCACAGAAGAACAATAAGGAAAAGAGAATACATTCAGTACAGTTGTGCCATCATTTTTTTCTCCACGAAGCAGAACTCACCGTGACGGTCCAGACGTAAGGAACGAACTTCTGCTCCTTCTCCACCTGGAAAGTGGCCATGTCATTTGAATACTTTTCGACGAGAACGCCAACTACAGTCAACATAAGTGTAAGGAACATTTACCACATTGAGGATAGCGTACAGCAGCACCTCCAGGGACACGTGAGTCGGCCTCTTGTAGTACTTGACGGGCCGCGTCATGGAGAAGAGCTCGTTGGTTCGAGTCAGGCCCAGGTGGTTTAAGACATCCTGGTAACTGCAGCCCGCTGGCTCCGATGCCATGGCGTCTGCTAAAATGGATAATACAACCAACATCCTTGCCTTGAGATATGAGTGAGCAGACTTTGAAGGCTACGACTGTTTTTTTTTTTTTTGCTTTGACTTGACGGCTGCTCAAAATGTTTTATTTTTTCCTTTGCCATCCAAATGGGGACTTGCTAGGATTTTTGGTTCAAGAGTGTTCAAGTCGTCCAGGGTCTGAAGTTATAGGGCAGCCCCAGACCATCTCACTGTCACCACCATATAGATTGTCTACAGGCCTGATGTTGTTCTTGTCAAATGCTATTTTATTTTTACTCCCAGAAAGTCTTTTTTTTTTTTTTAATCTCATCAGTCCACATCATATTTCTCCAAAAGTTTTAGGGGACATCAGGATGGTTCTTAGTGAATGTTCTTTATTGTCAATAGTGGTTTTCACCATGAATGTCATTTTTGCGCAGTTTGGATGTCGTTCTGCGTTCTTTTGTGACTTTCTCCTCAATTGATTCTAGGAGTAATTTAGGTGGTTGACCACTGCTGGAGAAGGCTCACCACAGTTCCCAAAATTCTCCATTAGTGGATAATGGTTCTGACTGTGGCTGACGAGAGTGCCCAAATGACTTCACTTTGTTTCTCATTTGTTCTTTAAGTGCTTTTGATCACGGCAAGACATGTTTTATAGCTTACTTCATTTTGTCTGACAAGTATTACTCAAGTGGCTTCTTGATTGAAACAAATCTGGCAGGATGAGGCTTGGGCGTGGCAGGTGAAATTGAACAGAAACTGTTAGAAATTGTAGCTGATGATTTAACAAGTCCCCCTTTTTACATTTCATTATTTAGAAACTGCATTTT